CAGCAAAAAAATAAAAACAAACAAAATATAAACCAACAACAACAAAAACAACAACAACGCAGCTACTTTCGATTGGGACTTCAAATGGGAATGGTTTGTTTTCTTCATCTTGATCAGTCCTGCCTAAGACGGCCACCTGTCTTATACGACCACTTTTCTCCTTGACAATGGGTGGCCGTCTTACACAGGTTTGACTGTATATGTTATTGATGGCGCAAATAATTAACTCCCTCTTTCGAGCTGGTGTGGGGCTTGATTTGCTGGGTAGTAAAAAAAATTCCAGGTAGTAAATTTTTTCAGGAAATATTGCTGGGCAATATAGATGGCGTGTTTCCGCCGTCTATTTTTGTCGTCTTCCGGGGTTCCCCCCAAGACTGTTGGGTCTTCCTCGCTAGTAACTGTTGGCGAGATCTCGCCGTGTTTGTTTTTTTGGGGGGTATTTCTTGTTATCTTACTCTATAGACAATCTCAGCGAATCTCGTTCCATAAATTAACCTTCTCCTCAAAGTTGTGCTCACACACACCAGCACGCGTGCACACACACACAAGCGCGCGCCCACACTGCCCAAGCGGGGCCCAAGCAGTCGGCGATGACACCTAGTGACGTAGCCCATCGTGTGCTAAGCGGGTCTGCCACGGTGAGATCTAGTCAGCAGGCGAGGGAAGCCCTGGAACCAAAGATACTCACTCCTCTGGCGGAGTATCTTTGCTGGAACTGGAAGACGACAATAATAGATGGTGGAGATACGTCATCTATATTTGGGCCAGTCACAGAGATGTGTTCGGTGCTTGCGGTAACTTCATGTGTAAAGTTCACACACAAATGTTTCAAATGACAACAAAAAGATAAGCCAAAATGAAAGAAAATAAAAATTACCTTACCCAACGGACATAGGAGCCTAGTCTAGATCTAGATTCTAATGTTTCTTAAATTTCATCAGGCAGAGCTATTTTGACGAGCTCATTTCACCACAATACCAACATCTATGATCATTCTGATTCTAATTATTTGTAGGCCAAGGTGGTGTGGACTGTACCATAAGCCAAAGTTTAGGACATTTGGGTCTTCTTGGTATGTAATTTGATCATGTAATCAGGAACATCATTTTTCAGAGGGCTGCAGTGAAAAGTTGTGCTGGGATTGCTGTTGATGCGGAGTGGCGGCTGTCTGAACTGTCGGTGAAAATGGCATCTTTGAAGTCTTCTTTTAGTGTGAGAAAAAGCAGTCGCATGAACCTCCGGAAATGCTCGTCTGTCGAGGCGAAGAAGGCAGATCCTGATGAGAAATGTCCTGAAAAGTCCTCTAGAAAAGGTAAAAAGAGAAAGATTCTTCTTCGTCTTGGTGACTGGAGTTATCTCACTGTCGTGCTTTTGTGTAAAAGTTGTGATTTTGTGTGTGGGGGGGGTTAGGCCTTTGTCT